CATATAATCGACAAAATGAGTGAATTGTGTTTCAACGGACCAAATGGTTGGCACGTATTTGGATGTCTTGAGCGGACAAATGCCACACATTTCGTCAATTATCTCATGAATGAACTAAAGACATGAGGAAAACGATTTGTATGGTTAGGCATATGAATGACAAACTAACTAAAGACAAAGACATTACCGAAAACATGTTGTCGTCACTCAAGTCATTGAAATGAGTGTCACTCGCGATGGAAGCCATGTCTTGAGCCGAAAGAGTGGTTCGCAAACGGTATCAACAAAAGAAGTTGTTGTATGCTTGGGTTGTCTGCAACTATTATACATGCCCTTAATTGAATCTGCCTGGTATGTTTGGAGTCACTTTAGTGTTGGAAAAATTAACCAAAGTTAATTTTTAAAAATTTGTAGAAGAAACTGTAAACCTTATATAAAAATATTATTTGATACATATATATTATTTGATTATGATTTTTATTAACAACAGGTACAAATGTATTATAAATTATAGTACATTTGTGACTGTTGTTTATCAATGACTCACATCTAAATAAGGATGGGCAACTTTTAATTTTTTGTCCCATTAAAACATTTGGGTTTAGATTAGAATTATCTACACATTTAATAAAAGTTCATAGGATTAGCATTCTACATATACTTAGCATTAGTCTCATAGGATAAACATTAGACTTAGTATGCAATAGACTTAGCATTATCCATGTTATCCCTCTATCATAGACTTAGCATGTAAGACCCATGTTAAAGTATAGACTTATGCTGGAATCCCATGTTAAATACCATAGGGTTGGGGGCTAGTGGATGGGGAGCCAAACGATCCTATAAATCACATTTATGGCTAAAAACATTATTAAAATTGTAATGACTTTTTTGCTAATATTATTAAAAAGCCAATACGTGACAAAAATCGTGCTTTAATTTCAGATAACAAACAATTTTATTTTGAATTAGCCTTTTTGGCAGATATAACATCTCTGTTTAACAAATATAAATTGCAATTAATAGGCAAACATAAAATAATAATATCTCAATTTAATTTGATTAAAGAACTAAAAATGTTATTAATTACAATTCGTTCAGCTTTTCATGACAACAAAAAATTTAATATTCAATCATTATTTGATTATACCGACTTTCCGTGTCTTAACAATGTTATCCAAACTAATATTGGCATTAATTTTGACATTAAAAATATCATTGATTTGTTGGATGATATTATAAATCAATTTGAAACACGTTTTCAAGATTTTGCTTCAAATGAAAACATGTTTGATTTATTTTCTAATCCATTCGAAGCTAATAACATTCCGCCAATATTTGAATCAGAAGTATTACAATTGAAATCAGATGACGTGCTATACAATCAATTTAAAAATTCAAAATTAATTGAATTTTATTCACAACTTGATCCCGAAATTTATCGACAACTAAGACATAATGCGTTAATTATTTTTACATATTTTGGCTCAACTTATTATTGCGAACAATTTTTTTCTTTAATGAAAGCTCGCAAAAATGACAGAACTTGTAACTTAAACAACGATAATTTAAAATCATGTTTAAGATTGCGTACAGCAAATGATTTTGTGCCTAGTATTGCGATCGATTCAATTATATCCAATCTATCCCAATTTCGTTCATCACGTACAAAATATTTTCAAAATCAATAAAAAGAATTATGTATTATATTTATTTCACTCACTATAACTACTTTCTATAACTGAATTAAAATTTTATTTATGATTTTTGTAAAGATTTAATTTATGATTTACTTTACTTAATTTATCAATTAATAAATAACTACTTGATTAACTATTTAACGTGTTTTTCATAACTATTATAGTGATTTGTTGTAATCTTTTATTTAATGTTAATGCAATTCTTTGTATTATTCTTAATATTATTAATATATTTTACAAATTCATTAAATATTACATTTTCGGAAACCCAAACTTAAAATTGTGATATTTTCCAACACTAATCTGCCTCCAAACATACCAGGCAGGGATCTGTATAATAGTTGCAGACAACCCAATTGTATGCGATCAACCGATTGGCTGACAGACCGCTCATCAAAACAATAATTGTTATATTATTGTTAACGTCATTATTGAATGAGTAGTAAATGCTTTGCTTTCAATCACACAACGGCAGAGGGGCCGGATAATCGGATAAGCGTTCAAACACACTGTTACATTTTATGTGTGTGTTTCCCTATTTGGGGGAAATGACATAACAAAACATAGACAGGGACTTGAATGACTAAATCGTAACAATGTTTTTGGGCAGTGCATCCGGCTCCTCAGCCGATGATTGCTTTCAATACAATTGTGATGTTTTGATGCGAGCAATGGATTAGCGGATCAATTGTTGTCACAATCATTGCTCTCTAAGACACCCTTTAAGACAACACATCCATTGAAGTGATGGCCGACTATTCTTCGGTTAGAATTGGAAAACTCAAACTTAAGGGAGAGAAGAGGTATTGAATTGAATTGCATGTCATTTGTTGTGATAATTGTGTGAATAATTTGAATGCATTTACAGAAAGAAGAAGAAACAGAAGACAACAACAGAGGAATCACCCGAAGAGACACAAAGACAGACTGATTTAGTCGACTCTCAATCACATGGTTTGTTTGCTTGAATGAAGTGATGTATAGATATGTTGTACTAAACCATGTAATGTATATTTTACAGGAAATTGGTTTCAAATCAAGACTTTCGATCAAATCACGGGTCAAATAGCGGTTGAGATGTCTCCCTATCAATACATCCGAGCGCTGGACAACGGACTCTTCATATTAGGCGCGGCTCACAGTCCGGGCGAGAGTCCCGATCCCGAAGAGATTCTGACAGCCATTCGTTTCTCAAACACACAAATCGCTCTCAAATCGGGTTATAATAAGTACTTAAGTATTGACAGTAAGAGTCGATTAGTCGGTCGATCGGAAGCCATCGGTTCGCGGGAACAGTTTGAACCCGTTTTTCAGG